GTTAAAGACTTAGGTTGACTAGACTGCTACAGTTCCAATATGATTTTTTTTTAAAAATCTCATTATTATTAAAAAACTAATATTCCTTTTATTTTTGTAGTAATTTCTGAATATATTAAAACACAAAATTTTGAATTTGCTGTATATTGTGCATTCCTTACTGACACCTAAAGTGGGCCCTTGGTTCTTGTCTTATGTCACATGGGGAGGGGTATATTTGAATTGCCCTGTAGTGTCAGCAAGTCTTTAAAGAAAAATGGCAAATCAGCTACTTCTCACCACATTGATTCTTAGTGTATTTACTGCTAATATATATGCCATTCATTCCCACAACACCAGGTGGTTTACAGAGGTATAATACCATAATAAAACCTGTCATGATAACATGCATAAAACTTGAAAAGTCCTGGGTGAGAAGATGTGTTTTGACTCTTCTAAACTGTAACAAGGATTAAATGCAGAAGAAGGAAATAGTGTCAATGAAGGACAGAAATGTGCCCTCTCCTTTTTGCAGTATATAGACTAGCAAGGGCAAGACTATACCATGCAATGCAAGCAATTTCTAAAGCAGGTAAGAATAAGGACATACAGTCAGGTCCAGAAATATTGGGACATCAACACAATTCTAACATCTTTGGCTCTATACACCACCACAATGGATTTGGAATGAAACAAACACAATGTGCGTTAGCTGCAGACTGTCAGCTTTAATTTGAGGGTATGTACATCCAACTCAGGTGAACGGTGTAGGAATTACAACAGTTTGCATGGTGAACGGTGTAGGAATTACAACAGTTTGCATACGCGCCTCCAACTCGTGAAGGGACCAAAAGTAATGGGCCAATTGGCTTCTCACCTGTTCCATGGCCAGGGGTGGGTGAACGGTGTAGGAATTACAACAGTTTGCATACGCGCCTCCAACTCGTGAAGGGACCAAAAGTAATGGGCCAATTGGCTTCTCACCTGTTCCATGGCCAGGGGTGGGTGAACGGTGTAGGAATTACAACAGTTTGCATACGCGCCTCCAACTCGTGAAGGGACCAAAAGTAATGGGCCAATTGGCTTCTCACCTGTTCCATGGCCAGGGGTGGGTGAACGGTGTAGGAATTACAACAGTTTGCATACGCGCCTCCAACTCGTGAAGGGACCAAAAGTAATGGGCCAATTGGCTTCTCACCTGTTCCATGGCCAGGGGTGGGTGAACGGTGTAGGAATTACAACAGTTTGCATACGCGCCTCCAACTCGTGAAGGGACCAAAAGTAATGGGCCAATTGGCTTCTCACCTGTTCCATGGCCAGGGGTGGGTGAACGGTGTAGGAATTACAACAGTTTGCATACGCGCCTCCAACTCGTGAAGGGACCAAAAGTAATGGGCCAATTGGCTTCTCACCTGTTCCATGGCCAGGGGTGGGTGAACGGTGTAGGAATTACAACAGTTTGCATACGCGCCTCCAACTCGTGAAGGGACCAAAAGTAATGGGCCAATTGGCTTCTCACCTGTTCCATGGCCAGGGGTGGGTGAACGGTGTAGGAATTACAACAGTTTGCATACGCGCCTCCAACTCGTGAAGGGACCAAAAGTAATGGGCCAATTGGCTTCTCACCTGTTCCATGGCCAGGGGTGTTTCATTCCAAATCCATTGTGGTGGTGTATAGAGCCAAAGATGTTAGAATTGTGTCGATGTCCCAATATTTCTGGACCTGACTGTATAAAAGGAACAAATATACCTTTTAAGGACAGTTGCACTGGTGAAATTCAGAACTACTCGCCTTATGAAATTCTGACTGTTGCTAATGTAACATGAAAAATGGAGTAGAGGTTTTAAATTCACATTTTGACATTCTAGTTGACACTGACAATCCACCTGATACAGAGTTGTACATTCTTATTAAAAGAATGAGGAAATGAAAAAGTAAATGTATTCATTACTTGTGAAAAGTCTTAATACCTAAAGAAGGAAAGCTCCCACAAATGGTTTCAAAGAGGAACCCAGGAAATATTACTCAAATTCAAAAAGCAGATCCTGAAGTTTAAAAAGATCTAGCTGAAGATTTGAGCAACTGTAATTGGCGCAACACAGTGGCAAGGGCAGAAGGCAGATCTTGCAGATTGCATTGCAGAAGGAAAAGAAAAAAATGTAGTTGCACAGAGATTATTTAGCATATACAGGTAAAGCAGGTGAGTTTACACATGCTTGCCCAGTGCAAAAGCTTCAGTGTCAAACAGATATCATGTGGAAACATTAGATAAATGTTTTATTACTTCTTACTACAAATACAAGATTTACCAATCAAAATAGTTCACATTTTAGCTGTGACAGTAGCTGTCCAAAGGGGATTGGAGTCCAATAAGAGTCAAGATCTTGAGAATGGAGAGATTTGCACTCCTGAAAGAGGACCCTAAGTCCAAAATGCTTTGGGCAATTAAAATAAAAGTTGACTTCCAACTAGGATTTCTTCTCTTCATTGTTTGCCATACTGTGTCCATCCCAATTCATTCTGATCCTGTGATTGTTAAAATGAGGTCACAACCTTCCCTGGTCACATACTCTCAGCCTTGCTGTCTACTGAGAAAGAGAAATGGAACCTTGTTTTGCCAACATTCCTCCCTGAGAATTAACTTATTACGGCTTTCCTGTTAACAGCAGTTGGTCAGTGACTGAGCAGATAGGATGAAACTACGCGGTTGTGTTTTCTTATCTTTCTAGCACTCTTAAGATCTTATGAGAGTAAGCTAAATGCTGCCTGGAACTACACTGACAATTTCATCCATGTTTATTCAGAAGAAAGACCAAGTGAATTCAATGAGCTTTATTCCTAACAATGCTACATAAGTGCAGCCAAAAGTTGTATACATCTTTCTGCCAGAGTTATATTTCAGGCATGACAAGAAATGTAAAGGGCATCTGAAAAACGAATCAGCTTAAAGAATGAGGGGAAAGATGAGAGAAGATGGAGGCAAGAGAGAATTTACTTCTAAGTTAAACTATACTGTGACTTGGTTGGATTTTTTTTTTTTCAGAGAAGGAGGCACAACTTGACAATTAAGTTGCTACAACCTATTACTTAAATTCATTTTGATTCTTGCACCAAATAATAATGGAGATTCACAACAACTCACTTTTGGCACATGTGGATTAAATTCTACTGCTCTGTGAATAGCTTCTACTGCATTCATTTCTGCTGTGCTCAGACCTCTTCTTGAAGCTGCCTCTGGAGAAAACCTACACAGAACAAAGAGAAGAGAAGCATGGAGGTCACTTTTGGCACCAGAAAGAAGTGTAAAAGGAGGATCTAAGTCAAAGGGGTCTGTGAAACCAGCCTAAGCCAGTTCCCTCAGCTCTTACCAAACCTCCATGGCAAAAGAACATCCTGAACAACCAAATTATACAGAGGCTACTGATTAAAAATCCCAGCAGAAGTCAAAAGCATGTTTGAAACTAATCATAACAACGTTCAAGCAGTCAAAGTTCTATTTCTGTCTGCCTGCTAAGCTAGATTTGTTCTATGTGTTTGCTTTTAAAATCTGGACCGAAATCCTCGGGGGGGGGGGGCAGGGGGAGGTGTAGAGAAAAAAAAAGTGCCAGTAAATTTGTAAATTACATTTTAGGAAGGCTTCAGGAATTCTCAACCCAATGCCACTGAGACAAGTTGAGTTGAAAGCCTGGTGCAGCAGCAGTAGCAGGTGATCTACTTCCAGCTGCATCCATTCCTGATCATGTACCCATACTGAGGGCAAATATCATCTGCCCCAGAGAGTGGAAGATGGGGAGAAAAATACCCAGACCATGCAATCTCTTTCTCACCTCACACCCCACGGCTAACTCCATAGCTGTACTTGGCAGGCAGCCACCACAGGGAAAGCTGTGACAAACCTAGCCCTGCCCTCCCAAGCTGGAGTCGCTGTGTAGGGAGGAAAGATGTTGCAGTTGGTACTGGAGATCTACAGGACAAAAAGAATGAAAGAAAAAAAAATTACTCAGGTCTTGAAGTGCACATACACTACAATAGCAAACTCTCTGAAAAAAGGAGGAAGGAAAGCGGGCTTTCCCACGCGGCCTGCTTCCCACCCACTCAGCTGCCGTCTGGACTCGTGAGGCATGGTGATGGTGGGACGCCTACTGCTTGGATTTGCTGGCCTCCACCTCTGACCAGAACCGGGCTCCTGTCTGGTGCTGTACTTCGACAGCAGCCATGTGAGAGGGCCAACCACCTTACATAGCTACGCAGAGTTATGTTTTACATATGAGATAAAAGGACATCGCTTGCCTGACAGGACTTCTTATGCAGTAAGCACTTGGTCTGTCTGCCTCAAATAAAGTTTAGCCCCTTCCCAGTCCAACATCACAGTTATCATTCTGCTGGTAAAGCTACATTGCCAGAATTACATTTATGGCATTTAAGCTTCTTTTAGTTGCAGAAGCGGCTAACAATACCACCTTGAAGCTGCTTATTTTTCCCAATTAAACAATATGGAATTCATTGTTATCCCCACAGTACCCATTCCTGGTAGTAAGTCTACTGCAGACATATGGCAGGCCTAATGTTTTCCTGCCAGGACGAATAACCTTCAGCTATGAAAAATGTTAAATGTTTAATAAGTTCATAGAGTAAAATTTGAGCAGGCAGGAATTCTTCCAAACTTACTTGTCAGAGACAGCTCTAGCTTTGAGAAGGGCAGCTGTGTAGCATATTGTTGCTGATTTTGGTATACTTATATCTGTTGGAAAGAAAATAAAAATAAGAACGTATGATTCTTCCGTTTCATGTGTGAGTGGGCAGCTAGAGAAAATGAAATGATAAACGAAGAA